ATATATATATATATATGTATGTTTAATACTCTAAAATATCAATTACATGTTAAAATATATTTTATACATTAATATATTAATATACATTATATTTTTTAATGTGGTGTCACAATCAAACTTAACATTGGTATGATACAGAGATAAACAAGAAAAATTACACATTTGGCACTATGTCAAAAGCTGAGGCAAACCTCATGGATAATATAACAGTAGTCACCAGTGAGCCCTTTAGGACTGCACTAAAGATTTTTACAGCCATTCTAAATGTGTGGGCCTAAATGATCTATGTTGAATCAGTTTTGTATAGTTTTAAGAATACTTATCCTTAATCATACAAAAAAAGATGCAACAAGTGAGATTACTGTATGTAATGCAAGTATCAGACTGTGTTCAACAGTATGTTAGATTGAACCTTTCTGCAAAAGAGAATCCAAAATAAGGCTAAAAATCAGTCCATCACGAGCTTGTTCAACTGCTGGGAAACTGGTGGGCAAGGAACATCCAGCTGCTTCCCAAACATCACCAAAGTGGTGCGACCGGACTCTTAAAAACAGACTGACTGATGATTGAGTGGGTTTGAAAGGAAACGAGCTTTGACTGTAATCTCAAGGATAGCAGTTGAGGCCCTGTTCATTTGGACAGTTAAATACAGGAGGAGCTTTAATTCATGTGGTGGTGTTGAATTCAGAGTAGAAGAGGAATGCTGACTCGTCCTGTTCTTCAGACATCAGAAAGACAGACAGCCGGAGAGCAGTGAGAGCTTTTTCTTTTTCTTTTTTTTTACTTTCTGTAAAGATTCTGAACAGAACTCAAAACATCATGTAGTTTATCATGATAAACTTTATCAATTATCAATTATTTGCTTTAAACAGCCAACAAAACCAATATAGTTAACTTAAAATACTTTTTTTTTTTTTTTTACAGAAACTGAAGAGCCCCCTAGTGGTATTTAAACCCAAGCATAGCTGAGATGTTTAGCTGATAAAAGAGGCGGGAAGTAAAAATCCTATCTTTAAAAAGCGTTTATGTTTTTTGATTCAGAGCTAGATCCATGGCTTTAGCTGGAAGACTGAGAGCTGAGAGTTTTTCCTCCCACATGCTTTCCACTACTTTGAACAGTTCCATGGTGGCTTTGGCATCGTCTACTGATGAGTGGCCTCCCTTCCCTGTCTGAAAATATAAGAAGTGAGAGAGTTTTTCAGTGGAAAAAAAAATAAAAGCCAAGCCCGTCTTTATTTTCTTTATAAAAATAGTCTGACTCGTCCTCTCTCAATCCTAGGATCCAAGAGCTGCTTTGAACTGACTCCAGATATACCCTGTCTTCAATGTCTGACAGCTGAACTCCTCTAAGCACTGTGATCTGTGTGGCACAGGTGAAACTGACATCCGCTGAGACGTTACAACGTTTTGTACTGAGTTAAACCCACCTGTATGTCCTTTTTGAGAATAGCTTTAGTGAGCCTCTTCAGAGACACCATTTCATTCACAGGCAGTCCAGCTTTCTGGTTTAGCAGCGGAATCCGTGCCGTATCTCGTGTTTGGCAAGCAGGATGGAAATATTTTAAGACCTTGAAGTCATTATGGATGGCATGGCCCACAACCACTTTCCCTGTTATTATCTTCACAATCTGTGAGCAATATAATAATGCTTAGTAGACTTACAAAATCAATCAGACTATTACTGGTTTGTCATTACTTGGTTTATTTTGAGCACAATGAATAAATGGATGATATTTTTGTCTACATAATTCAATAAAAATAAATCAATAAAATTATATAAAAACAATAACATCTAAATTCAGGCACAAAACTTTAAAACATAACACTGGCTGATAACTGATAAGATATTTTTCTACCAATATATACTGAATCCATATTTTTAAATCCGAAAACAAAGATTCTAACACTTTGATGTTTCTATGGTGATAGTTTTACTGATCCACTAGGAATGTTACATATTATTATTATTATTATTATTATGTAATATGTCCACAAACAAATTATAACATTATATGATCTTATGTGATCTGAAAAAAAAAAAAAAACAACTCAAGCCTCAAAGCCTTCATTAAATGTAATGGGTGTGCAATGTTTTAAAAATATCTATTTTTGTATTTTCCATTTTCATTAAAGTTTTAATAATTGAGTTTTTTTATTAGTTGTTGTTTTTTTTTTAAAGTTTTTTTTAAATATGTCTATATAATTTGTAATCATTCTTATTTCAGTTTTAGTTATTTTATACATCAAGAACTAAATGGAAATGGGAAAGGATGCTCTGACAACTAGCTGAAGTAAAATAAGTATGTTTTTTTATATTTTATTTCAGTTAACATTTATTTCAAGTGACAACGACAGCTTAGTTGCTTGATAAAAGTGTCTTCTATACATATAAATGCAATATAACATGATCATTGAAGTAGAGATGCTCTTTCATACCTCTTTCTGTGCCTGATCAAAGGGAATGGCATGGAGTAGGTCCTGCCTCCTGATTCCACTCCAGCGAGTGCGGAAATCCATCACAGGATTGATGGGTTTGATATATTTATCATAAATCACATCACCCTCGTAGGTGACAATACTGCAGCGGGCAAGTTCATTGCGACACCCCTTCGGTCCTGTGCCCACCATCTCACAGTCCAACGCCACGTATTTTAAAGGTCCGAGAGTGCGGGGTGCCGCTTGGTGTGTCGGATGCCTCCGAGATGTGGAGGCAGTGGATGGAAATGAAAATGTGGATTTCCTTGAAAATGTCTGTGCAGAACTAGAAGGCTCATTGGTCTTATTAGGCAGATAAGAGGTAAATTTAGGAAAAATAGCACCTGGTTTTGATTGATCACCTCCATTGTGCTGCGTGTTTCTTGACTTGTTTTTATTTTTCATCTTGTTCTTTTTGTTTCGCTTTTTATTTTGTTTCTCTTTTAACAAACCCTTGTGCTCCAGGTAATGTCTCCTTCCAAGGAAACGTTCATGCTTAGCATTTCCTCTGTATTTACCTGATTTGCCTCCTCGACTGGGCTCACAAACCAGGTTCAACATAAGTCCTGACATTCTTGTACACCCTCAAAGGTTGATTACAGCAGGTGTCTTCTTGATGTTGTTTTACTCTTAAATAGAGACAAAGAAAAAGAAAACGACTGTTAAGGCAAAGAACTAACGTGACCACACAAAATGATTGTGATAATCATTCTGTAGAAAAGTGTACAAAATGTTTAAATAATAAAAAATAATTAACAAGATATATTTAATAAAAATTAACTAAATAAATAATTGACTTAAAAAAAAAGATTTGAAATAATAAAAAAATATTTATTATTAACAATAAATAACTAATAAAAATATTAAATAAATAACAGTACAATACTACAATGAATCGTAAAAAACGTAACTATGTAACAGAAACGAACTAAATAATATTTTACAAAATGATCCAAATAATATTTTACACATCTTTATAATAACATTTCACTGTATAAAATTGGTCTTTATACATTAAAATATATAGATGTCTTTTAAAATAAGCTCAGACGACGAATCATATTGGTTGAACGTGGCTTGTAAAAGTCTGAAACCCCCTTTATAAACGATGTTTTTAAAGCTATGCAAAGACAATAGCATCTATTCACAATATAGGGACAGTTTTACTAGACAGACTTGGCATTTTGATTTTTGTTACAGTTCCTGAGTCTTGTAAGTTTTGGATAAAAATAACAGGTCGTTAATGTCTTTAAAATAAACTGATTATGAACATTGCTCTTGAATTGCAATTTGCATATCAAAGCAAATTTCCATGATGGACAATTTATCTAGCCAATTCGCTAGCGAAATAAATTGTGCGATTCTATAACGTATAGACATAAACTTTCAAAATTTCCTAACACATACCATTATTTGCCCCAAAACGGCGATCTTTGATTTTTTTTTCTTGTCCTATGATTGTGTTCAAAACAAGCATGTCTGACTCGTACGTGTGACTGCATATGTACTTCCGGGTCGGAGTTTAACGGTTATGGGAAGTTCGATTCTTTCGAACAGTTCATTTCAAAGAACCAGTTCAAAACCTACTTCAGTGATTCTAAAGGTTTCTGTTTACTGTTTATTAAGTTTTTATTACTAAGGTGATTATGGTATATCATAATAAAAATTTTTACACAAATTTGTAGTACCAAAACAAAAAAAAAAACATACACACAACTGCATTGTTCGTAATCAAGTAAGAGTCAACTCCCAATCGTGAATGAATCGTTTAGGTCGGTTTTGTGAATCAGTTCAACCGAATCATTGATTTGTTCACGAATTGGACATCACTAGGCAGCGCGCCTGCGGACGCGTGTGGTCGGATTGCTACATGTAAACACCAACGTCTTATTACGTTCCCACTGAAGTTTCTATATTAAATGACTTCTCGGAATATTGAAGGGCACCCAGTTAAACCTGCATGGTGTTTTAAGTGCTGAAGAAATGTTTGTGGCGGCTTTTTCAGAGCAGGAGCAAAGAGAACTAGCTGAGAAGCTGACTTCGCTCCTGTCAACCTACAGACACATATCAGACTCCTACATAATAGTAATAAATCAACAACTTCTTGTACTATTCCAGTGTTTGTGCATTATAAACTGCTATGTTGTGAAGTTTGTCAAGAATTCAAGTGTGAGTGTAACGGTAAACGGATAATCCCGTGTGTTAAGCCGCGGGGTTTCTTTCAGTTGAAATATTTATGTGCATGTGAAAGTGTATCTGTGTTTGTGCGTCCACGCAGGAGTTCTTCAGTGAGAGTTTGTGGGACACTCTGCCTGTGAGCTGGCAGGACGCCCTCGGTGATCTTACACCCCCACAGATCGCTGATCTGCTGCTGGATAAAGAGATTAAGGACAGGCGGTAAATGAGTTTCTTCTTTGTATCTGTCTCTACTTGCCTTAAATTAAGATAATGTTACAAAGCCAGAACATTGCTCAAAATCCACTTTGGAGTATTTGCCTGTAGAAAAAGCTTTGAGATAAATAGATGAAGAGTTCAGATACAAAAGCCTGTAATTTTCTTCTAAAATTAGCATTTTTATCAGGCTCCTATATTTAGTCATTTCACTTTAATTGCCTAGAAGAAGAACCTATACATTGCTATTAGAGTAAAATTACTGAACCTAAACATAGGAGCCTGATTAAAAAATGCTCATTTTAGATGAAAATTTCAGACAGCACATAGACGCTTTTGCATCTGAACTCTTCAGATAGAAATGCATGAAGTGATCAAATATATGCTTAGAATGCAAGGAAATTTGTTGTCTGCAAAAACTGGTTTTGCGTTGGGACCAGTATTTTACATTGGACATCAAGTGGTGATCAAACACAATACCAAAATTGCTTATTGTATCAGTGTTATTTTAGTGTCATGATGCTTTTATGGTTTTATTGTTATTTTGATTTATATTTTATTTTCTGTTTTCATTTTAATTTTGTTTAAAATTGTAGTATTTTATGGAGTTTTTTTTGTCATTTTCATTAGTGTATTTTTTAATTATTTTTTTAATTAAAAGTTTTTGTGTTTTATTTTATTTCAGTTAATGTTTTGTTTCTTTCTTGGTTTTTGTTTGTTAACTATAATAACCTTGTATATCTTGTATATTCCCTCATAATCAAACATTCATTAATATACCTAATATATATATATATATATATATATATATATATACATAGGACATATCAAATATTAAAGTTAAAAGTGGATAAAAACAGTACGACTCCATCTGATATTTGTTGTGCTCAGAGCAACCATCTGCATGTTTCATGAACATTATGAAATGAAATCATGTTTTGGAGGCAAAAAAATTTCAATATTTTCAGATCTGTCAGGTGTTCTAATAATTTTGGCCACCACTGTATATATATACAGGTGCATCTAAAAAAATTAGAATATCGTGAAAAAGTATTCTCAAGCTTGCGGTCATCCCTGTTGCTTGTGCACCTTTTCCTATCCAGTTTCTTCCTTCCAGTCAAATTAGCATTTAACATGCTTTGATACAGCACTCTATGAACAGCCACCCCTTTCAGTAATGACTTCTGTGACTTACCCTCTTTGTGGAGAGTGTCAATGATTGTCTTCTGGACCATTGCCAAGTCAGCAGTCTTACCCATTATTGTGGTTTCAAAGAACAAGAGATAACCGGAATTTATACTGTAGGGGCAATCGCCGCTTGCACTCTCAGCTACTTGCAATCCACACGAATCGTGCTCAAAAAATTTTTTTTGAGATACTGGATTTTTGACTTTCATGAGCTGTAAGCTCTAATCATCAAAATGTAAAAAAAAAAAAAAAACTTTACTTTATATGTAATGAATTTAGAATATATGAAAGTTTCGCTTTTTGAAATAAGTTACAAAAAAAAGAACCTTTTCACGATATTCAAATTTTTTGAGATGCACCTGTATATATATGTGTGTGTGACTTTCTTTTTTTAAAAGTTCAACATATAATACATTTTAACTATTTTATATAGTAAACACATAAATTAGGGCTGCACGATAAATCGCATGCGATATTTAATGCGCATCTTGTCAGAAAGTCGGTTCTGTAATCAGCGGTAAATCTCCATCACGTGCGTGCTTTCACATTGAGCAGCATTAACTACACAGAGCCGTTGTTCACTGACGAGCTGCGCAAAA